GCGGGGCTAGAGCGAGAGCGCCCATCCCGGCCGGAGCAGCCGAGCCGCGGTCGTCTCGGTCGAACTCGAACGCTGGTTGCTCGCTCGCCCTGCTCGTTCCCTCTCTTCTTCGGTCTGCAAGTCTCAGGGACGGAGGAGGGGCGGCAAGGCCCCATGTGTGGGAGGATTGCTTCAGCTTCACAAACTTGCACGGATTTTGGTTGCTGCTTTGGCCAGTGGTTCTGCTCAGATTTCTTCCGAATAGTTGTAAACTCGCCATTGTTCCCTGGCTGCTTACAAACTTGGATCCGGAATTTCTTTTCAACCGGGAGCCATTTGTGTCGAAGTGTCTGCAATGAACCCCGTGAATGCTACTGCTCTCTACATTTCCGCGAGCCGCCTAGTGCTCAACTACGACCCCGGAGACCCCAAGGCGTTTACCGAGATTAACAGGCTCTTGCCTTACTTCCGACAGTCCCTCTCTTGCTGTGTTTGCGGTGAGACGCTTCTTTATTGTTCCCCTTTCCCTGCTTGTTTTCCAGAGGCCCTTTGGCAGTAGGGACGTGAACGGTTGGCCGGTTCGGTTAGTTCATTTTAAGCGGTGCCACTGGACGGTAGTGGACGGTCATTAGTTTTGAAACTCGCCCAGGGACTTTTGCCCGGCGTTTCAGAAAAGGCGGAGAACCTTTTCCAGCTACTTTGTACGGCGGCCTTAACGTTCAAAACGGTTTAATTCGTCTTGACCCACCTCTCTGGTGGTGGTTTATTTTTTAAATATAGTTTAAGAGAATTCTTTGACAGCGTCACACACGCAGTGTTGATGACTACATGGGGTTGAGATACCAGCAGCGTGCTGCCTTTTTTAAAAAAAGCCTTTGCTGTAGCAACTGATTGAATACCGCTGTGATTAAATGGGGTCAAACGTTGTTAAGACTTATGCACGTGACTTTCTTTTCACCCCTTAAATTGTTGTGCTGAGAGTGGATGGTATAATCTTGATGCATCTCCAGCCAGAGACCTCAGATGGCTTGAGGGTTACCGGTGACTTTATGAGCTGATGGCACTTTTTAGTTGATGGAATTTTTACAGATTAGTTTTTTCTGTAGTTTTAAAATCAGGTGGGTTGGCAGAGTTGCTTTTTTTTAAATTTTAAATGAAAGGCAGGTTCTCACTATATAGCTTAGGCCGACTTCGAACTTGTGATTTCTTGTGTCTCTCGATCGCCGGTATTTCAGGCATGCACAACCATGCTGGGTTTCAGAGGATTATTTTTAGATGTTTTTGTTCAAAGCCTGTCTGTTGGTTACGATATTTACGGATTATTTGTAAGAGATGAGAGAAAATAATATTGTCTAATTGGAAAGTGTTTAAAGAGCCAATCATTTGTGTTAACTGGGCATATATAACAACTAAGTAGTTGACACTTGAAAAACCAGAACGATTATCCTTGGTCTCTCTTGAGGTCGTATAAATCTTTCACCTATTTAAAGAAGGAAAAAGCAAAAACGTACACAGCAGGAAACGTTTAATACAAATAAAAGGGCAACAAGCAAGGTACTGATGATGCCCTCCACTTAGTGTGCTTATTTGAGGGATTGTTAATCCACTTGTTCAGCCTGAATTCAAGACTGGAGACACTCTGAGGAAGAGTAAATTTTTCCATACAAGTGGCTGACACATAGAACTAATATTCAAGATTTCATCCAGCATTTTTTTTGTATAGCTTAGGGTTAAGTCACTGAGGGGTACAGAAAGGGTGAAGATTGGATTTTTGCTGGTCAGGTACTCAATCTCAAACATTCAAGCAACCAAGTGATTTAGCACTGCTATGACCAGTACAGACAGAGTACTTTTATTAATCACTTAGGGCAAATCACTTCACTGCTTTAGGCCTCCGTGTCTTGCTGTGTAAAATGAGGGCTTAGGGCTAGATTCTGATATGGCTTTTAGTTGGAATATTACCCAGGGAAGTGCACAGAGAATTTGCTTGGTTTAATGGTGCTCCCTTTTACAGTCTCACTTCGTTTTTGGTGGTGCTGACTCAAACGCAGGGCCTGTTGAAGAGCTCTTTGCCTCTGAGTTGACTTTGTAGAGTGCTTCTAAGAGGCGGCCGTGCTGACCTAGCTTCCTCCCTGGCACTCCTTCCCGCTTTGTTTTGAGGAGAGTAGGTAGATGTGTTGCGGTGGTAAATAAAGTAGGGGAAGAGGTCGGTAAGGATGCCCTCCAGAAACAGCCATTACCAGCTAACGCGTGAATATATATATGGTAGGGCCGCCTCTTTCCTAGAGGGGTGGAGCTTAAGCTCTGCCAGGAAGTGGTGACTTTGGATGGTGCTTAAGTATTTGGAACTTCACAATTTTATTTTATTTTTTTGCATTGTCAAGTGTAGAGCGTAAGGCTTTCAACATGCTAGATAAAAATTCTACTGATGAACTACATTCCTTATTTTATATTTCGGAGACAGTATCTCATTGCATATCCTTAGGCTCGTCTCAAAAGTGGAGAGCCTCCTGCCTCGGCCTTCTGAGTGCAAGGATTCCTGGTGTGTGCAAGGATTCCTGGTGTGTGCTACCAGGCTTGGTGGGCTTTTAAATTATTTAAAGTAGCTTCACGGTAGTGGTGATCTAAATAATCATGGACTTAATAATTTAAGTATAGACTTAAAAAAAGCACACACTAAATATAAAGCTGCATTAAAGTTTATTTTTCTGTATGTTTTGTCTGTGTGTATGTATATGCACCACATGTGTGCTGTGCCTGAGGAGGCCAGAAGAGTGTCTGTCCCCTGGGACTGGGGTTACTGACTGAATTGTACTGGGAGTCCTACCTCAGTCCTCTGGAAGGGCAGTCAGTGCTCTTAATGGCTGAGCTCTCTCTCCAGCCCCAAAGTATCATCTAAGAAAAGCCTGACTGTAGTCTGTTTATTTTAACACGCGGTCTTTGGCCGCACAGTTGAGATTTTATGACTGGAACTTTGTGATTATTCTCCTTGGTTCTTGCCTCCTTTCCTTTTCATTTTGCAGCAAAGATTAGCCGGTTGCCTTTAATGCCATTTCAGTAATAGGGATGCAGGTCTAGGTTTCCCCCAACCCCCACAAGCCCATGGTTATCTAGAGAAAGAGAAAATTATTTGACTTCAGCTCCAGCACTGTTTATCTTTGTACCAGGTACAGTCTTGTACTTCTTTTTTCTTAGTTCAAAAGCATGAACTCATTAATAGTATGCATGTGCAGTTTTATTTCATGAAAACAATATGTAAAAGTTAGGTTTAATTCTGTTTTGGTGCTGTAAATAGGATGTTCAATTTCAGCAGGTCCTCTGATGTCTGATGTATTCCTTTTTCTGTTTTGTGGTCAGTCCCCCATCCCGCCCCTCCCCCCAACAGTTTTTCTATTCCAGCCGAATAGATGTTTTTACCCTTACAAACATGGTTTTAAAATTTTCTTCTTTTCCATTTCTTCCCCACCTTCTGGGGCTTGAACATAGGGTATGTTGTTGACTAGCTGGCCTTGAACTAGTAACTTTGCTTCCTCAGCCTTCTGAATACCACAGTCCTGTACCACTAGAGCCTGGCTTTCCTAAGGTTTCTTTTGCCTGAAGATAATGCTCATTTTCTGTAATGGTCCCAGAACTCATTAGCTTTCTTTGGTGAATTTTCCCTTGTCCAGCCAGCAAAAAGTTCTCTTTGTCTTCAGAACCTCTGTAACCCTTTGTTCTAGTAGTTATGGCATTTTATAATCCCCTTCAGTGCAGTTTCTATAATCATCTTAATTTTCTGGTGTATATAGGAAAATCCTTAGGTAATATACTGTTTATTACGTATTTTTGTGCTGTTCCTTTCACTCTTTCCTGCTCAGTTTGAGGTGAGGGAAGGAAGAGAAGGTAAAAGCCCTGTGCATTTGGCTGGTATGCTCATTCTTTGACTTTTTTCCTCTTGTCTTAGTTAGGGTTTCTTTTCTTTCTTTTCCTTTTTTGGTTTTGTTTTTCAAGACAGTGTTTCTCTGTGTATAGTTGTGACTTCCCTGGAATGCTGGACCTGAAAGTAGAGATCTGCCTGCCTCTGCCTGGGATTAAAGGCCTGTCTGGCTGAGTTTCTGTTGCTGTGAAGAGACACCATGACTACAGCAACTCTTACAAAGGAAAACATTTAATTGGGGCTGGCTTACAGGTTCAGAGGTTTAGTCCATTATCTTCATGGTAGGAAGTGTGGTGGCCTCTCAGACAGACATGGTGTTGGAGAAGTGGCTGAGAGTTCTACATCTGGATTGGCAGGCAGCCTTTATCTGTTTATTTTTTTCCCCCTTAAATTTGAGTTATGTGCGGGCTTTTTTTTTTTTAAGATTTGTTTTTTATTTTGTCTGTACGTGTCCAAGTGTGTGTATATGCACCAGGGGTGGGCATGTGCTCTAGGAGGTCAGAAAGGACATTGGATCCTGTGGAACTGTAGTAAAGGTGTGTGCTGGGAACTGAACTCCAGTTTCTTTCTAGAGTAGCAGGTGCCTTTAACTGGAGAGCTCTCTCCAACTCCTATGGTGAATGTTCATTCCTTTTACATTCTTTTTCTGTTTTGAGACAGAGAGGATCTCACTTATAGCCCTAGCTGGTCTTGAATTTCTGTGTAGACCAGGCTGGCCTCTCCCTCTGCCTCCAGAGTGCTGGGATGAAACAGAGTGCATGTGACACCCTGTTTAGCTGCAGTGGCTTTAAAAACTCAACATTAAAAAAAATATTTTATGCATGTTAGCGTTTTGCCTACATTCATGTGTGTATACACCTAATATGTACTCTTGGAGCCCAGAATGTGTCTCTTGCCACTGAAGTTACAGATGGTTATGAGCTGCCATGTGAGTGTTGTTAACTGCTTAACTATCTCTTTAGCCCTGTCTTTTTAAGAACAAGAACAATCCAGGTGGTGGTGGTTGCACGCCTTTAATTCCAGCACTTAGGAAGCAGAAGCAGATGAATCTCTGAGTTTGAGGCCAGCCTGCTCTACAGAGCTAGTTCCAGGACAGTAAAGGTTACACAGAGAAACTCTGTCTGGAAAAACAAAAACATCAACAGCAACAAAAAGAACAAGAACAATCTACTGAAAGTCTTGGATTAGTACATACTAGGTGCTTGTTGACATACCACTTAAATTTTTTTTTTTTGAGATTTTATTTTATTTTATTTTATTTATGTGTATGGGTGTTTGGACAGCAGCATGTATATCTATACTGTGTGCATCCAGTGTCTGCTGAGGCCAGGAGAGGGCGTTAGATCCTCTGGAACAGAGCCCCCGTGTGGGTGCTGGAAATCAAACCTGGTTCCTCTGCAAGAGCAGTCAGTGCTCTTAACTGAGCTATTTCTTCAGCCTTAGGAAGAACCTACACACTCAGGTCAGTTATTAAATGTGGAATATTCACGAGATCACAGATTTTATGATCATTGTTCTTTGAAGTGTCAGTTAGCAATGTCACCGTTTCTTTCCTAGTTGTTTTGTATATTTAAAGAGAAA